TAAAAAAAATGCTTTTACGCTTTACAAAACAAAGTTCTTCTTAACATATCTATCTCGTGCAATACAAAATTACTTAAACTAATCCAAACAAACACTTAGAGAAATAAAGCTTGTTCCTCTTGTTCATGTGGTGATTGTAATACTTTTTTTTCTTTTTAAAGTAGCTTTATAATTTCTTTTTCTGCATTGAATTTTAAGTAGCAGAATTACATATTGATAGCTTGATATCTAAAAATGATTATTCTGTAGAAAGGTTGGAGATTTATTCAGATCGATCTCTGCATTGAATCTTGCCAAGTTAGATAAAAATGCCTCGACTTCTATCTCTCTGTTTCCTCCCATATATATATTGGACGTTTCTGAAAGTATATTGTAAATACTAAAGCTTTGGTCTGAGGAATAATGATAAATGACCTTACTCTTGAATCCCAATTTCCAAGCTCCTCAACCCAGCAACAAAAGTCTCAAATGAAATATGTTGATCCGATGCATGTCTTCCTTTTCCTTTCCTGTAAACCCTCTGGTCTTGTATGCTTAATTACTATTATCCATTACACCCGTTCTCGTTCCTTCCTCTTGGATTCTACTATTTGAATTCTTGTGCTCATCCATTTCTTTGTTAGGGTTGTAGATGGGAAAGTATTTGGTTCTACATTTTATGTATCTTAGCCAACCAGCCTTGGTTGATTCTTCCTCATCTTTTCTTTAAATAAGGTTACATCTATCTTAGATCTGACATCAGCGTGTCTTAACTTATCTTTCTTATGTTTCGATAAAGGACAAGAGTTAGGTAAAGTCCCTAAATTGTTTATTATGAGTTTCTGCAATAAAAAATATGAGAGGTGGAGAAACTTTTATAAAAGACCCAATCATGCTATACTGAGGTGTAAAAATTTATGCCTGTTGCATTTCTATTGAACAGTTTGATGTCAATTGCTTGAAAATGAAAAATTTCTCTTCTAAGTTTACTCCTCCTTTGATTAGTTTGCCTTAACATGCTTTTGTTTTTGCCTTCACGGCTCTTGATGGCCCTACATGCCTACATGGCATGCCTTGCACATTAATATGCCTAACCAGTTAATCTGAAAAGGAATGGTAAACATCCTTACTTGATGCAGCCGTTGTTAAGAATATGTTATTTGCACAGATTTTTAATGATGATTGTGCCTTGTGTGACTTTTGGGAATCATATGTTCATACAATGTAAAGTTCTTTCCGTGCACAGACTGCATACCCTAATTCTGTCTGATCTGTAGATGCCCATGCTTTGCTTGTTCATAGTTAAATGGGCATCTTGCATACCTAGATATATATGAAAGGACAATAACGAGGTAGAATGCCAAAACATCCTATTAACTTTTCTAGAGTCTCATTACTATTATGTTCTAGTTTATACTTGTTACTCTGTATGTTTGTAACTTAAACATCTCCGTGTAGGATCCTTGGAAGGCCACCCTTTTATTGAGAGTAAAGGAAGCTCTGAAGGCAAAAGAAATGGAGGAGGATGATTTGACGTGAATCAGTTACTATTGAATTTCTTAAAAATGAAACTAATATCAGCTTTGTAAAGGCCAGTGGTTAGGTATCTGTTATTTCTATTATTTGTGATGCCCTTATCATTTAATACAGAAGATCACAGGAATAAGTTCTCTCGAGTTCTCTTCACAACCACTTGATGCGTGTGCGTATAGCTATAGATTGAGAAGAACACTTCTTTGAACTGTGTCTCTCTGGTGTATCATTTGTATATGGAATACCTCAGATATCATATTTTCCCCTCCTATTGGCAACCACTTGATAATGTTTTAGTGGGCTGGTGAATCCCCTTTCCTTAAATAATGCCGTGTCTATAAAATCACAGTTCTTCTTGTACTTATTACAAGCACCTCTTTCATAATATTACGTGTTTTTTTTTCCATGGATATTACATGTTTTGTTAAAGTATTAATTTTTTTTCATCCATTATCCCTAAGTAATTATGAAACTCCTAGCTAATTAACTAAATGTCTCTAACTAATAACTTTTGCTGATGATAATTTTGTTATTTTATATTAAATAACTAATTTTATTAATTTATGTAAAGTTGTTATTAAGTCACTATATTAAGGACTCAAGGAAGTATGCTAAGATAATGATTCGAGTTGGAAGATGTGATTGGAATGGCGCCTTTGTTGCATGTGGAAATCATATTGCCCGGGAATTACACACACATGGATTCATTGATTCAGACAGCAAATCAGAGAAAAAGACAAATATAAATGACGCGTATGCTGTACTAAATCTGATAAACATAGTACCAAGCAAGACAATGTATATCTATCGCCATACTAACGGTCTTTATAGTTTAATGGCTTGAAAATTCTCTTGTAAGAAATTGCGGGTTTGATTTTGCTTCTTAAAATGGTAATATGGGTAACTCTAATTTAAAAAGAAGAAAAAATCCTACACACCATGTCATAAAGATCTTGTCTCTACAATTCTCATCTCAACATCTCTTGCACTATAAATAAGGTTCATATTGAGGTCCTAATAAAAATCAACCAACAAATCTCCCTTCCTTGTAATCTATTACTACCTCTGATCCTTAATATAAGATCTTATTTGATTTTTATTTTGGTCCTAAATATAAAATTCTAATCCATTTTATTTCTCATATTTATACTTTTTTTTTCAAGGTAGTCCTACTAACAATGATAATTCTAGCCAATACACTTAATTAACAAGGATATTTGAGAAAAAACAACACTTATTTATTACAAATAATTAATTTAACTTCTTTTCTTAATCTCCTCAAATTAGTCAACTAGCTCTTATAATTAGGACCGGAGGTAGTATATCATAACTTGTCAATAGTTTGAATCAAATTCAAAAGTTAACAAAATAAATAACAACAATTAAACCATATGGGTAGAAGGCTAAATCACAATCCTCCAGCTTACATAGTCTCTCTCCTCTTGTTTGTCTGGTTCCATCTGTTTCACTCGTTCAGCGGGTTTCTTTCTGTATGCTTGTGTAATAAATTTTTTCTTTATCAACACAGAGGTGATCATCTTTGTTTCTGTTTCTGAACATCATTCTCGTCGTTTTCATTGTTAAAGACTAAAGGAGCTGCAAGAAGAACCCTTTCTGGAAGGCTGCTTCTACTGCGCAGGCCTAAGTGCTCATTTTGCCCAACATCTTCTTCACTAAAGTCTGTATTAAGTTTGAAAGCTAAAAGGAACAACCGGTATTTTCACTATTAGTTATACTATTTTTGTGTTTTTTTTTTTTTAAATTTTGATGGGAGGCGCAAAGCATGAACAGGGGATCGAATCCGAAGCCTAATGTCACGAAAGGGTCATCTTGTACCAATAGACCTAATGGAATTTGGCAGTTATAATATTTTCAAGAATTGCATATAGGGCTATTTGTATTTGATTATATATATGTATATATATAGGAAGAAGTCTTTGATGAGTAGATTGAAAATTTAATATCAGAAAGATTATCTCCATCGATCAGTTAGTCGTAATACATATTATCATTATTTCATCTATTTTTAAAAAATTAGAGTTTTTTTGTTTGCCAACATTTGATTGAGTTTGAGGTGAGTTGCATTTTCATAACTTATTAATTAGTATTACTTGCTGTAAATTTCATATTTTAGCAATTATTTGCATAATTTAAAAATTTATAAAAATTACAACAAAATTTATGAGATGTTGCGTGTTTATTATAGAATTTGCAAAGGTGGGTGTATGTGCGGGTCGGAACCTCTCTTATATCCTTTTCATCCTCTTTTATCTTTTTTTTTTTTCTAATTCTTAGATTAACATATTTCAACTGTTTAAATTTTAATTTTTATAAACTATATATAAAAAATTTTAAAAATATTTAGTATATTTACAAACTATTAGAATTAAATTTTAATAGAGTTTATAGTTTATTATTTTTTATTTTTATAATTTAATATTTTAATAATATTTTTAAAAATATTAAAATGTGAGATGTTAAAATATTAATATGATGGTTAGGTTAAAAAAAAAAAAAGAGGAGGAAAAAGGATGGGATAGGAAGAGAAGAGCTCTCGAGACGTGTATGTATATATATTCTTTCGGTCCTTAATATAAGACCCAATTGTTGAGTTGGTTTTGGTTCTAAATATAAGATCCATTTCTCATATTTATCAATTTCCTCTAAATTACTCTTATGGATACTCCCTCAACCATAATCAAGTAAAAGAAGAAAAAGGAGTATTAAGAAAAATAATTATGATATTTTAGAAAAATGTATTACATTTCTTATAATAACTAATTTACCTAAATTCCTTGATTTAATCAAATTAGTTGAATATGGGTCTTATATTAAAGATTGGAGGAGTATTATAATAATTATGGCGTCCAATGGCATGATAACTTCTTAGTGTTCCTAGTTTTAAATATAAAATTCTTAGGAAAAAATTTTTAAATACCAAAAAATAATAATGAATATTCTACAATTTTATTACTATCTCTAGTCCTTCATATAATAATTTTAGTATATTAAAAAATAATTAAATTAATTATTTATAATAAATAAGTGTTATATTTTTTAAAATATCTTTACTATATATTGATTAGAATTAACATTATTACAAGAACCATCTTAAAAATAAATAAATAAATAAATAAAATAGATTAAGTTTTTATATTTAAAATTTAAAAGTAAAATAAAAATCACGAACTGTTATGTTAATAACGAGAGGTAATAATAGTTTTGACGGGAAGGAGCAAGTGTGTATGTGAGCGAAGAGGGGACAGGAACAGTAATGGCAGGCGGGATCTGCCGTCCAGTGTCAGTTATTTTGTTACTTCTTGTTGGTTAAAACTTAAGGCCCTCATATTTTGATGCTCGTATGTTTTTTAAAAGATGATAAAGATCCAGTCAAGTGAACAGAACAAAATAGGAAGTCCGTTTAGAGTTTCGTCCATTCTATAATGAGTGGGAATCTCTGGTGAATATAAACTCCAGCATCATCAGCAACGTATTGAGACAAAAATCATGTTTTAAAAATGGTTCATGGGGCCTTTTTGCCGTCCGAATACTATTTTCTACTTCATTTCTTCACAAAGCAACAAGCTTCTTCTTCTTCCACTCACACTTCGTCACTATAAGACTACTCAAGCTTGCTCACTTCCTCTGAAGTCTGAACCTACTCGTTTTCTTCTCTTCCCTGACATTGTTTTCCTCCTATATGGCGTCCGTTTCTCAAATTTCCAACCTTGCTTCGTTGTTTCGCAGCCGCTACACTAGGGATGAGACTAGAACTGTATTTGATGCTAGGGTCTCCTTCGCACACCCTCTTAAATTCTATAATTTGAACCAGAATCTAATTCGATGTTGCGGAAAGCGATCATTTATGTCTGTACCTCCTCGTGCCTCTACAGAAGTAGTTGATGATCTAATTCTTGAGAAGCAGGAAGCAGGGGAGGAGAAAGACAGGATCTTGAGAGTTGGACTCATCTGCGGTGGTCCTTCTGCAGAGCGTGGGATTTCTCTCAATTCTGCTAGATCAGTTCTTGATCACATACAGGTGGTAGTTTGCTCCGTAGTTGCATACAAAATTCTGCAATCCTGAACTTACTAGATGAATGAAGATGAAAGGTCTCACAATTGTGGCTACTTTGCTTTAAAGAAACAAAAATGCTAGTAGTTGTGCCTTTTTATTTAGATTTAAAAAACAAGATGGAAAAGATATTAAAGCCGGTGGGAGTTCAGTAAGTAATGAGTTTTCGTATGCATGAACAAAAATTATGAACTTTTCCTAATCTTTTTTCCATATACTTTGTGTTATCTGACAGGGAGATGATTTGCACGTGAGTTGCTATTATATAGATTGCAATCTCAAGGCACATGCTATATCGTCTGCTCAGGTTCGTTCAGTGTATGCTTTTTGAAAATATTCTGCTTTTCTATCTTAATTCTGAACTACGGACCCAACTATGTTGTAGGGCATATCTAGCTTCTTTTCTTCCTTCTTTTTTGTGGCCAAACCTGAAATCAATGCAGTTCAATACTGAATATGATGATTGTGTCGAAGCCGTTAATCTGATTAATAGAGGATGTGACTTTAATTATTCTTTTAGGGACATAGTTGAGGAAGCTAGATTACTTTATCTTAGGATTTGGCAAATACTTTTGCAACATGCCTAACCATTTAACTAGATTTTCCCACAGCTTAGATGGGAACTTTTGCATCCTTCATCATCCTCCACCTTTTTGTCAAGAGGTGGAATTTGATCCATGAAGTTAGTTTAGAAGATTTATTCTGATGTAGCCTTTTGTGTCTACTAATGGATTTTCCAGTTTATATTAAAAGAATACTGAATATGACTAATTATTGAAACTGATGCTACAGTCAACGGAAAAATTGATCCAGAAAATGATGATTAAGTCACGCGGGGACTGGGGTTCATAATTACTTATAATGTCATAATTCTGTGTTAACATTAGCCTGAAGTAACATGCATTTCAATCGGAGTAGGCTTTTCATTGGAATTTCTCTCTAGAGTTCAGACAATTTACTTTTCTAAGAATTTACTAAAAATGCTATTTTACGTTTTGAGGTAAAATTAGCAAAACTATATGGAAAGGTCTAGATGAAACAGTTTTTATTTATAAGTCACGAGTTGTTGGTCTTGGATGTTCACCTCTGTGTCCATTAATCTGGTTTCCTAGGGTCCACTGTTCTTTGATATAAATAGTTGAAGATGAAATCTGGGCTAGTGGATGGCTCTAAGAGTCTGAATCCATAGCATTGCTAGAGGAACAAGATGTTTAGAACATCTAGATGGTCTTAATTAGAGAAGATTAATTGAATCTTTGGTGGTGTAGCATTGTTATTATTAGCTATTGTTCAATTTGTGGTCTGGAATTGTTTACTAGCATTCTTAATCAGCATTTACTAGTCCCCCTTCCCCCCCCCCCCCCCAAAAAAAAAAAAAGGTTTCTGACAAAACTGAAAAACTTCTGGTTATTTCCAGCACATGAAACTAACTGAAAATGAATTTTGGTGGGGACATTTGGCTTGACGATATTTCAGCATCTTCCACTACGTTGTTTATGTCTGTTTCTCTTCTAAAAGTAGTAGCAGTAGGTTTGTCTTGTTTCTCTTCCAACAAGTTCTTTTCTTCTTTCAGTTGAAGAAGTTTTGGGCACATGAACTTTCTATCTTGTTTGTTGAAAGGTTCATGGTGTTTTTCCAAAAATTTCTACTGACTTCACTACATTCTAGATTAAACAGTGACCATAAGTGGCATCAGTTAAGCAAATAACAACTTCAACTGGGGATGTGTGAAATGAAAAGGACAGAAATAGTGCAAGTTGTTTCATCCATTTAAGTTTGATAATTTTTCCTGTCTCTCAAAGGATGGCAATCGCTTACATATCTTTCTTGCAGGTATATTCGAACACCCCATCGGACTTTGATTTCAAACTTGAAAGGTTATTATGCCATGCCATTTTGAAATATTGAGTATCTATTCATACACAAAGCCAAGGAGTGAATTACACTCATTTTTTTTAATATGATCTGATTGTTAATTCATGCAGCCTTGCCCAAAGTTTCGAGAGTTTATCTGACTTTGCCAAGCATCTAGCGAAAGCTGTGGACATAGTTTTTCCAGTTATACACGGTCAATTTGGTGAGGATGGTGCCATTCAGGTGTAGCATACTAAAGCCTTTGATAACCAATGTTCTAACTGAAATATGCATTTTCATAGTTATTTCTCCTAGGCTGCTCAAACTTGTTGGAACATGAATTATTTTTCAATTTGATGAATTTATAGGAACTACTGGAACAGTATAATGTTCCGTTTGTTGGAACCGGATCAAATGAATGTCGTCAAGCATTTGACAAGGTAAAGAAATGCGTACTTTGTTGTATTTATCGTGAATTCTTTGTTGTGCAATGTTAGAGGATACCAAGAAAATATTTGAGTTTTAGAACTAGTAACATTTTTCCTGTTCGCATATTAGATTTTATGCATTCCATCACTGTTCACTAAAGTGAAAACACTTAATGTCTTAATTCAAGCAACTAATTATGCTTGCAAGCTTAATTTAGCGTTTAGATCGTGAATAAATATATACTCTGGAAAAATTTTCGTGCTTATTGTGGCATGTGAGCAAATCATCTGAAAATACATTCAGAGGAACTTCCATAGCTTAGAGACACATCAGAGAATTTTGTGTACATCTAGATGACTTTTATTTAATATTTTAGTGTTTTCGTTGTAGCTATTTATTAGTGTGGCTTTGCTTCTGACTCCAGTAATTTCCTTTTAAAAATTATTGGCAGTATGAAGCATCTTTACTGCTCCGCAAGCATGGATTTATAACAATACCCAGTTTCTTAGTTCAGGTATTGAAAGTTTTTGTCAATATTTTGCTCCCCCCCCCCCCCCCCAATCCATATGTCCATGTCGTGTCGTATTATACTAGCATCCAATATCTCGTACGACGTTTTGTTTCTATGTCACGCTACCAATTTCCCCCTTGACATACTATTGAGTTTTCTGATGTTATTGTGGAAATCAGGGATTTGAAACAAACAAGCTGGAACTATATGATTGGTTTGAAAGAAACCAGTTGGACCCCAACCAAGGGAAAGTTGTGGTAAGGAACTTGATTTGATGGTCACTTGGGACTATTGTTAAGTCATTGTTAAGCAATTTATTATGCTTATAGACTCTCAAATCTCTTCTCCATAGGTAAAACCAACTATAGGAGGATCAAGCATTGGCGTTACAGTTGCTTATGGTGTGGCTGATTCTATTGTCAAAGCCAATGAAATCATGTCAGAGGTACTTTTAATCAATTTAACACCTGACTAGGAGCAGGTGTTTTATAATGTGATGTCTTGTTTTTAAATAAGAGGCAATTAATGTGGAAACAAATCAAAGAGAACGAATAGTGAAGAGAATTAGGTCCATATACACGTTGGCTACACTTATGGTGAGTGATAACTTGCAACACGCTTGTGTATTAACTAATATATTTCACTGGTTTTGAAATGTGATAGGGCATTGACGATAAAGTCCTCATTGAAACATTTCTTGAAGGGGGGAGTGAATTTACAGCCATTGTCCTTGATGTTGGATCTGGTTCAGATTGCCATCCTGTTGTACTACTTCCAACTGAGGTAAATGTGGTCCTTTTACCCATATAATGTCTATTCCTTCACTTCTTTCTTAAGTTATTATGAACCTAATTGAAATGACTTCTTAGATATTGGTCATCCCAGTTGCAATTATTTTATGCATGATGGATGTTTTTTATGTAACAATAACGATAAAGTTTAGATGAACAGATAGAACTTCAATTCCGTGGTGCGGCTGATATGAAAGAGAAGGATGCAATATTTAATTATCGAAGGAAGTATCTCCCAACCCAACAGGTCATTTTTAGTATTTATGCATATGAAGTGATTGATTATTGGATTTCCTGTTTAATATGTAATTCATTTCAACCTGTGCCTGTTTTTCTTTCTAATTGGATGAAGCAGTTATTACACACAGGTTGCTTATCACACTCCTCCTCGATTTTCTTTGGAAGTTATTGAAAATATTCGTAAAGGGGCATCTGCATTATTCCAAAAGCTTTGCCTTCAAGATTTCGCACGTATTGATGGATGGTTTTTGCCTAATTCATGTTGTGAATCATTGTCTTCAGAAAGTGGGTTTGGAAGGACCGAACCTGGTACCATAGTATTTACAGACATTAATCTGGTGAGATCTGTTTTTTTTTTTTTTTCCTTTTTTTGATAGAGGGGGAAATGGATAAAACTTGTTTTCATCTTTGCTTGATAATAATATCATTGTATGTGCCAGATAAGCGGTATGGAACAAACCAGTTTTCTATTTCAGCAAGCTTCTAAGGTACTTTGTGGATGTGTTAACTTTATTCTTTTATTATTCTTAAATCCTCATATTTCTAAATACTCAGGGTTCCTCCCTGTCATGTCTGGGACTGTTTTTCACCTGTCAAATTATTTTTTCACATGTGTTTTTACATATATAGCAAGGCTATTATTTCCTTACATGGACATTATGTCAATGTTATCTCAAGTTAAATGCAGCGTCAACAGCCCTGTTTTGTCTGTGATCTATCATAATCTCTGGTTGACTGTATTTTATGCTTTAAGAATCAGGATTTTGGGAGAACCACCGGATGAAAGAGTTAAATTCCTTATAGATGACAAATTGACTTCATTTATTCTTTATTGTAATGTATGTATAATTCTTTTGCTTCCTCGAAATACTTTCTATGTTTACAGGTTGGTTTTTCTCATACAAATATCCTTAGGAGCATTATTCACCATGCTTGCTTGCGGTTTCCAAGTATTGCATCAGTCAGTAGCATAACAGGTCATGTGCCAAATGGGTCTGAATCCTCAAAACTTAATAAATCATTACTTCATCGTGAAGCTTCTCAGAAAGCTTTTGTTATTTTTGGAGGAGATACATCAGAACGGCAAGTATCTCTTATGAGCGGCACAAATGTATGGCTCAATTTGCAAGCTTTTAATGATGTAAGTATCCATGGTTAATAAGACTTCAATGTTACTCTTTAATTTACATAGTGACGTTTTACCGGTATACATGCTGAATCTTATTTGTGTACTCTGTTTTAATTTTCATTCTTCCTTGTAAATTTTTTTTTTAAAAATAAACTGTAGAATTTGAGATTATTAAGCACAAATTATGTTTTTATATAGATTCTAGCTGTCCTATCTATCCTCATTATAACATCTAGGTCTTTACCAATGACTAAAGTAAGAGCTGTTGTATTCTTTTAACTTCGATATTTATGTCTGAGATTGGAATAATTGTCCTTACAGCTTGAGGTAATTCCATGTCTACTTTCTCCGACAAGTGAATATGAATCAGGAGCAGATATCGGAAAGAAGGTCGATGATGTAAAGAACAGAACAGTTTGGTCTTTACCGTAAGTATTGATCCTGTCTTCCCTTTTAAATAATTAAACAGTTTGATCACAACAATTAAAGCCACATTTGCTACACGCACAACTACTGAGGCGCCTGCATCCAATTTTGGTGGAAAATAGGTTTAAGTAGAACAACTTGCACCCACAGGCACACGTGTAATTAAGAAGTTGAGGTGTCAACTACTTAAGCATTCTGGAAGTTGCATTACTCAAAGTATTTTGTACCTGAGCTAATCATTAATTTATTAAAATTAGCATACTGCAAATTTCTTCAACTATCCTAATGTTCAAGTTTACAAGAAAAGCATACATTTAATGTAGCACTTGGTCTTATCTTCCGAATATAGTAAGAATGATGCAATTCAAAATTAATTTTCTCTACAGTTATTCTCTTGTGCTTCGACATACTACTGAGGAGGTCCTAGCTGCATGCATAGAAGCTAATGAACCAGACAGAGTTGAACTTACATCTTACTTAAGGAAGACAGTAATAAATGATCTTATGGAAGGTTTGAAGGATCATAGTTGGTTTACAGGCTTTGATATTGATGACGAATTGCCCACTAAATTTTCACTGGGGCAGTGGATCAAGCAAGCGAAGGAAGTCCAAGCAACAGTTTTCATTGCAGGTGCTCATTGCAAGCATTTTTTCAACTTATATATGAGCAAAAGAGTTAGTAATCGCCATTTGTATGTTACTGGGGATGTGCATGCGTGATGTGAGTTGTTTATGTCAACATGGAACTTCTTCGTGCACCAGCAAGCTATATGAACCTTCTTGGTTAACCCTTTTCAGTTAACAAGATGCCTTCTTATTCTGCTACTGTTTGTTAAAAAGTTTAAAAAGAAAGAGCTTAGGTATTATTTAAAGATTCAACAGTGGTTCTGACGGGGTTGGAGAGTATACCACGTTATCTTGTAGTTTTCAAAGAATGCTATGTTAATAAGAACTGTTGTATTTGTTTTCTAGTGTAAAATGTGTGGCAAGGCAACTTTTCAGAATTGCAGGTTCTAGAAATTGAGTGTATATGTCTTTAAAAAGGTTTTTGTTACATGTAGTGCATGGAGGCATTGGTGAAGATGGTACACTTCAATCTTTGTTGGATGCCGAAGGTGTTCCTTATACAGGTTTGTTTATTGTTCAGTTTTCCACAGCTGGTGTGCTGGGCTATTAGATCCACCCTCCAGTTCTAAATGTACGAGTTAAATTACTAATTCACATAAATTAAAAAAAATGGTTAAGTGAGTTTTAAAAGAGGAATGTGCATTAGTCTCCCTAGAATAGCCTTTTTTTTATCATTTACATTGAAAACTAACCTTGTTGATTAGACAATTTGATGCATGCAACCAATAGAGGCTGTTTGGGGAAAAATAATAAATGAGAGATAAAATAAATTGAGGTCTTGCATTTAGAACCAAAACAAATCCTCCAACTAGCTCTTACACTTAGAACTGGAGGGAGCAAAAGTTTAAGTACTAATTAGTTTCCCTATTTCCAAAATCTTTCTAATTTTCCTCCTTTTTCTTCTAATGAAGGCCCTGGTGCAATGGCCTCGAAGATTTGCATGGACAAAGTTGCAACTTCTCTTGCTTTAAAACATGTATGTTTTTCTATCATATTTACTTTTCCTTACAGAAGGTGACTTTTCTTACATTACTTCTCTCAATTGCACATGTTTTTGACTGTAATGCCCTGTTATAAAAGCTTGGAAATTTAGGAGTTCTTACCATAAATAAGGAAGTGCGGGGAACATCTGAACTTCTTAATAAGCCTAAAGATGATATATGGTGTGAGCTGACCTCAAAGCTGCAGTGTGAAACTCTGTGTGTCAAGCCAGCAAAAGATGGTTGCTCAACTGGGGTTGCCAGATTATGGTAGATTGCATGTCTTGTTAGTGGCTCGTTTTCATATTATTCAGTGATTTATACGTTTCCAGTACATCCTCTGATTCCTTGCTTAAAAAGCAATTATTGTTCTTCACATTCTTTTGTTCATACAGTTGTTCCAAGGATCTTTCGATATATCTAAAAGCAGTAGAGGACTGTCTTCTAAGGATTCCTGCTAATAGCTTATCAAAGGTATGGCACTAGGAATAATGAAATCCAGTTATATAGGTTCTCACTTTATAAGGCATCTGAGGAGAAAAGGGATAGTAAAATAACGAATTAATGATGCACACGTGCTATGAGATCATTTTTCTTCCTTCCTATTCTCAAAGCTCACCTGAAAGTTTATTTATACGAATGAGAACTCTTCATTTTTATTTTTTTTTATTACATGACATCTTATCTCTCGTTTTTTTCTCGGTGCTCAGGCACATGGCATGATTGAGATGCCAAATCCTCCTCCAGAGGTTTTGATCTTTGAACCTTTCATAGAGACTGATGAAATAGTTGTCACATCCAAAGATAAGAATGGGACTGGGCGCAACCTCATGTGGAAAGGGGACAGTAGATGGGTGGAAGTAACTGTTGGTGTTATAGGCAAACGTGGCTCTATGCACTCTCTTAGTCCTAGTGTCACTGTTAAGGAAACTGGTGACATTTTGTCACTAGAGGAAAAATTCCAAGGTTGGTCCCCCCCCAAAAAAAAAAGAAAAAGGGGAAAAGATTCTAATGCTTGCACATCAGAAACTATAGCATAATGATAAACATTACCCCTCATGCTCTGATGTAATATTGGAGCTGAGAAATATTACCTTCGGTCCTAATTATAAGAGCTAGTTGACTAATTTGAAGAAATTAAGGAAAGAAGTTAAATCAGTTATTTATAATAAATATGTATTGTCTTTCTTAAAATATCCTTGCTAATCAAATATATTGGATAGAAATATCATTGTTAGAAGGATTACTTTGAACAAAAATGCATAAACATGAGAGACAAAGTGGATTGGGGTCTTATATTTAGGACCAAAATAAAAGTCAAACAAGGTCTTATATTAAGGACCGGAGATAGTATATAAAAAGTAAACATCAAATCACTTTAAATGACCTAAATATCACTTTGTCCTTTACCTGCTCGTTTTTTCCCTACTCTTTCTCTTATGTTGGGAATCTATTTGGTTTTTGGGGTATTACGGTTGGGATTCCACTTATCTGTCTTTATTTCTTATTTTGTTTTCCTTTATTTTGACTGCTACTCTTCACAATGGCTTATCTGTAATCGTCACTTGGAATATTGTCTGTCAGGTGGGACAGGCATCAATCTGACTCCACCTCCCTTGTCAATCATGAGGTACTTGTTACTTTGTTTACGTGATCATTTTCATGACTACATCTCTTAATGTCTTGGAATCTCTTGTTTACCTTAGTCTTTGAAGACCATCACTAATTTTTTTTATTGGCATTCGATTGCCATACTTAACAGAGTAAAGCCTTTTCCTGGTTACAAGTAGGTATAAACTTGGAATCATTATGCTCCTGAATAATTCCTTAAATCTGCAATCAGGGTTGATATCTTAAACCTAAGAACTATTTATAATTCCTTAAAATTGGCCCAAAAAAATTTATAATTCCATAAAATGTCTGTGGCAGGTATATTGATATTTGGAAACATAGTTTCAATTCCAAATCTAATAAATACTGATATCTAATATTCTATAAGCTGGTTTAACATCTCCCTTGCATATCACACGTTGATGAACTGAAAATTCTAGTTTTACCTGGATAATTGAATTTATCAATGGTTTCTTGAATAATATCTTCTTTCTTCTCTGTAATAGTGAAGCGGCTTTGAGAACCTGCAAGCAGAATATTGAACTCATTGCAAACACCCTACAATTAGAAGGATTTTCGCGCATTGATGCATTTGTCAATGTTGACAGTGGAGAGGTTTGTTGATCTCCTCCTTGGGGCATATTTTCTCATTTCCCTCATTTCCATTGATATATCATTGATTCCTCCTCAAGCTTAGATCAGATATGCCCCTTGATATGTAATGAAGGAGCTATTAATGTTTATGCTGAACTCACAGATTTCTGTTGACATCAAGGAGTCATTTTGTCTTGCAACTTATTTTTCTTACTCCTCCATCATTTCATGACTTGTAGGTTTTAATCATAGAGGTGAATACTGTGCCTGGAATGACACCTTCCACTGTTCTGATTCATCAGGTCAGTTCCTGCACTTATAAAATTCTTTTGCTTTCTTAATCTTTCAAGCAATATTTCAATTTTCAAGGATCAGGCATTCGCCAGTTACGTACTTTGGTGCATCTGAAAGTTGAATGGGGCCATCATTCCACACTGCATTTAAAATCAGTCGGTAAATCGTAAAGGCCATTGACATAAATTTGAGCGATTTTCTTCTGGTTTTGGGTAGATTTTTATGTCTTGCCCCACCTAATGGCTTGAGGGAGATGAAGTGTGAAACCACAGTTTTGATATCTGAAAGACTTGAAATTTCTGTGTGTGGAGGAAGAAACCTTGTGTCAAACGGAAGGAAATAAATGAAATCCAACAAAAGGGATCTATATGTAAACACACAGACATTTTAAATCAAGAACTGGAACATAACTAATAACCAATTAGTCCAATTCGTCTGATGATTCTAGCTGACTTTGTCTTTCAATGCTTATCTCAGGCTCTAGCAGAGAACCCACCTATGTATCCTCACCAGTTCTTCCGCAAGCTACTTGATTTGGCATCTGAAAGGTCCTCCACATGAGAATTTCTGCACAGTTCTTGTCAAAATGCTTGGTAACTGTTACTGTGTGTATTGTGTGGTACAGATAATTATTCTAGCCTTCAACAATGGTGGTTTAGTGAATGTTGATGTTATTTTGTAAAAATTATAAAATCCATGACGGTGGTTTGATTCATGGGCTATAACTGCCTAACTGGCGCCGTCTTGAACTGGAATGTTGGCGGTTTTTCTATATAATTATATTATGAAGTCAATAATACAGCATTAAGGGTTGTGAAAAATTGTACAAGGTCCTTAACATAAAACCTGTTTAAGTAATTTAATTAGATTAAAAAAGTTAGGTAGGTTAGTTAATCGAAATTTTTTTTCAAAAATATTATAATCATCTTTCTTAATATCCTCTTTCTCTCTTCTATTTAATTATAGTTAAAAGAGTATTAATAAAGGTAGTTTAAAAAAATTGATAAATATGAAAAATAAATCTTACATTTAGAACTAAAATCAACTGAATAATCAGATCGTACATTAAGGACTAGAATTAAGAATCAGAAGAATATTTTATTAAGAGGACACTAAACAAATACCTAAAAGCTTCAAGGTATGCTCGTGATGTTACCAGGGGAGGGAAGATTTGGTCGTGGTTTTTTTTCCCTTTATTTGGAAGTCGACAAATAAGAAGGGATAATGAAGGCGATTTTTCACTTAGCCTTTAAAATTCTTCCTTTATATGTCTCTTTCATCCTAAATTTCAAGCATGTCCTAAATCTAGTCCTTCGCGGACACCTGTAAGAACGTTAATGAACCAAAACTTGCATGGCTTGTTTAAGAAATTAGTTGTTCATCCTCCACTTGCGATGTTAGTTAAATAATTTTATGGATGCTTTTAAGCTATTGTAGAATTCAAATGGTTAACCGCATTTTTTTTTTATTTTATTTCAGGCAAAAAAAACTGCATTTTTTTATGTGTAATATTAAATCTAAAAGAACAAGTAGCTTAAGGTTCATGGTTTATTTAACATTTAATATATTAATATTAATATTGATAAATTGTCAATTTATGGTCAACGACAACAACCTTGAAGCTTACGGAACCAAGATTCGAGTTTAAGATATATCATCAGTTCATCACATACGCCAATTATAACATTGCGTGTGTTGAAAACAAACAGAGAATAGGAATAGGATATGCTTAGCCTCTTGTTAATTGGGAGGGTTGTTCTTGTGGCCGTCTTAAGAAATATACCTTTTTTATTAGAATCCCTTTTTTTTTTAGCAAAATGTTAAAATCCCTAGCTCGCTACTTGCTTGATTAATTGTTTTGTTTTATTTATGCTTACTTGGCAGTTAAATTAAGGGCCGAGCACACATCTAACACCATAATATTCATTTAGGTGCAAAAATACTCTAAGATTCTAAAATGACGCAAAAATGCTACGAAGGTTAATTTAAGCAAACACCCGTTAATTTATAAAATATAAATGAACGTGAGGCTCACCATTAAAAAGTAACGAACATTAGCTTAAATAAACAGCCGTGGCATTGTAATATTATTATAGCGGCAGTATGAACAGACAGATTTATGCCTTAATTCTTGATTAAATACTATCTCCAGTCTCTCTTTTTTTGAGTGATCTCAACCGGTATCCTAGGCAGACCATCTTTCAGGTACATCAACGGCCCAGACTGATCTAGATTCACTAATTTGTAGGTACTTCGAAGGGTGGAATAGCTGGCCAGGAGATTTAACGTTTTCCATGCCCAAGCAAGAATCGAACCCCTAACCTTGGTTAATGGGAGTATCTCTGGTCCTTAATATAAGAGCTAGTTTAACTCTCAATTTGATCTTAAATATAAGATCCTGATCTATTTTGTCTCTCATATTTATTTATTTTTTGAAGATAATCCTTATAGTAATTGCATATGTTAAATGTTTTACCAAATGACGTATGATTAGCAAGGGTATTTTAGAAAAAAAAAAATAATACTACCTCTGGTCCTAATTATAAGAGCTAGTTGACTAGTTTGAGGAGATTAAGGAAAGAAGTTAAATTAGTTATTTGTAATAAATATATGTTGTCTTTCCTAAAATATTCTTGCTAATTAAGTGTATTGGTTATAACTACTATTGTTAGGAGGACTATCTTGAAAAAAAAAAAAGCATAAATATGAGAAACAAAGTTGATTGGGGTCTTATATTTAAAACTAAAATAAAAGTCAAACAAGATCTCATATTAAGAACCGGAGGTAGTACTTATTTATTACAAATAAATAACTTAACTAATTTTCTTAATCTACTCAAATTAGTCAACTAACTTTTATACTCCTCCGGTCCTAATTATAAGACCCAATTGACTTATTTGAGGAGATTAAGGAAGTAAGTTAAGTTGGTTATTTATAATAAATAAGTGTTGTCATTCCTAAAATATCCTTGATAATTAAGTATATTGGCTAAAACTATCATTATTAGAAGGATTATCTTGGAAAAAAATGCATAAATATAAGAGACAAAATGATTGGGTCTTATAATTAGGACCAAATAGAAAGTCAAATTGGGTCTTATAATAAGGACCGGAGGAGTATTAAGAATAGGAGTAGTACAAGTATAAATGATTTATTCCATATGTGTGTGTCTGTAGACGCTGACATACTATTTATTTAATTATTCATTATAGAGTCATATGGCCAAGCTTCTCACTATATTACACGCTGCGAACATCCTCAACCCACCCAAAAGTTTTATTGATTTTTTTAATAAAGTTCTTTATTATTATCATTAGCATAAAAAGCAAGCTAAACAGTTGCAAGTGAGATCAAATCTATAATATTTAACCAACAAAACCGAGCTTCTTACCACTAAGTCATGAATGCTTGGGTGTTATGTTTTTTTTTTTTTCCTTTTTCAATATACACATATACTTTTAAGTCAAACTCTATGAAACCTCTACATTTTACTTTTAACATGTTTCAAATATGAATTTATAAGAATCTATTTCCTCTTTTGGGGTCAATCCCCTTGTAACAGAGAGGGTGAATCAAGTGGGATGATGGATCTTCTAAACTAAGAAAGTTAATTCGCGATAAATGACTTCACTTTTTCCACAATAATACAAGAAAGGCCCTTCCAAAAAAGAAGCAAGACACAAAGAAAAGGAAGGCAAATTAAATATTAAAAACACAAGAATATATATTCCATGTATATACTACGGCATATGCTTCTTCAAGCTTCTTTATTCTTCATAGTTTTTCTCTCTCTTTTTCTGACACAGTCATTATTATTGTTTTCTCTCAAATTTATTTTTCGGAGCACTTGACGATTTGACCCACACATTCCAAATACAGTACCGAACTCACAATGCTTGACGCTATTTGTTGAGTTTTTGAAAATGAACGTGTTATTAAATGCTAAGTACACTTTTTTGGTTTATAAAAAGATCAAAATGATGATATTATTGTGGCTAAATGGCCAAGAGTAATCCCGGAAGTGATCGGCGGTAGAGATCACGAGGCTGACTCTGCCACAACGTTATCTTCTCCACCTGCTTTTGATCTTCTTCCACCCACGCCACCGGTGCCGCCGGAGTTTCCCTCAGGTCCCTCACGACCAGCCAAGTGTTGAAGTACTCTCTGAACTTTGTGATCAACCCATTCTTCAACGTCCAAACGTGCACCCAATACGCCTGTCCCTCCCAGCCCTCCGTGATAACGCAGTCGCCGATGGCCGTCACGCTCCTCGGCTCGAACTGGAAGCCGGCTTTGTTCGGTGCCGTCTCACCGGTCAGAATCCTCATCATGTGCTGTCTCCCCGGTGGACCATGGAACCAATACTCCAGGTCATTTGCTATCAACTTGGCCACTTTGTCCATGTGCCCCTGTCCCAACAACGCCTTGTACAGTGCCTCCACCGTTGCCCTGTTCTGCACTGCCACGTCTAACCTCTGGTTCATCTCCGGGGCTGCCTTCACCGGAGTGGTCAGCTCCACATCGCCGTTGGCTGGCATTTCTTGGGCTGTGACTATTGGGAAGTCGCTTACTCTTTCTTAGTGCATGGGCATGCTGGTCAAGTGCTTAATTGGATGTATTTATAGGACTATAAGTGGGAGGAACAGGTCAAAGAATGCATAGACGGTGGAGATTGGAGATCGGACGGTGTGGATTTTCTCCCAGATGACAAAATAAGTTAAACATCCAAATAAAAGGATAATAAAGTATTGATCATTGTTATTAAGCTTCTCGGCCGAATTTATGTGCAAACCAAACATGGGAATACCCAGTACGTAGATACCCCCAAAATTTTGTCACAGTATTATTTTGAAAGCAACAAAACAAAATGGAACCCTCAAATATTTATCATGACATTGTTAATTAAATTATTATTTAAATTAAAATATTCTTTAATTGGATGGGATGTTTTAGGTATGTATAATCTAAAAGGTTTAACTAGGACTTCAGTTTTGGAATATGAAGGATCGATGTTCTCATTGTTTTGTCCAGTACGTGTTGCCTCTTTGATGCCAACGGTAGTCTGGAAATGAGTGAAAGAGATAAATCCGTTGCTTTCAATATTCTTTTTTCATTAAGAATGAATTCTTAGGTTGGGTCCTAAAAATAATATTAGGACTCTTGTCCATCATAATCATGAACGAACGACGTACAGTTTCCCAATGTGATATGGGTTAGTTTATTACTCCCTCCGTTCCTTATTATAAGAGACATTTGGTGCTTATAGCATGTTTCTATATATAAGAGACACTTAAAAGTTGTCTCTACTTTTTGTGTTGATTTCCTATTTACCCATATTTATTGTCTCCAACTCACACTCTCTCTCCTTCCCACTTCTCTTTCTTTTAATAAATTACCATTGTTCTCTCTCATATTCTCTCTCCTTATTAATGAGGGCATTTTTAGAAAAAAAATTATACTTTTTACATATTAATTGTTCTTAACTAATTTTAACTGTTTTTTTGATCAACCTAATTCGGTTATTCGTCTCTTATAATAAGGAACGGAGGGAGTAGTTTTTTGTTGATATCACACTCTTGTACATCATATTACTAAATAAGATATTTTAAAGAAACTAATACATATATATTGCAAATAATTAATTTAACTAATTTTCTTAATATCTATAAAATCAAAAGTAGTAATATCTAGTAGGGGAGTTTGGGAATTGAACCTTTAAAAACTCTTAAAAAATTACTTTTACGCAAATCAAAAT